TAGTAGTTGCTGATTTTGTACATGCCTAGTAATTGTTGATTGACTGTCAGTCATTGTGACTTGACTTTTTTTGATGCTGGATATTTTTGTATATTTATAGATAATATTCTTGAGTTTAAATTACACAATTAAGTTATTTGGAGGCTTGCTTTAAAGCTTTGTTAGGTGAGATCTTAGCAGCATGTAATCTTGGGCTAATTATTTCCTGCTATTAAGAAAGTACCTCTCTGTTAACTCTCCTCAATGCCCGGTGAGTGGTGAGGCTTTTCCTTGTAACTGGTGGGAACAGGAGCTATTCCTGCCCTGTGCAAGCCTCGGGGATTGCTTCCTGTAATGCAGGGCTTCTCAACCTTGGAACTATTTACATTTGAGGACTGGATACTTACTTGGCGGAGGGGAGGGGATCGTCTGCTGTGGTATCAGATGCCTCGGAGCATCTCTGGCCTCTGTGCACTAGACAGCAGTAGCATCCCTTGAATTGTTACCAACCAAAAATGTCCCCAGACAGCCATGTGGCTCCCGGGGAGTAAAATTGCTCTCAGTTCCCAACTACTGCTCTAATCCTTCCTGGCAGTTGTTCCGTATGCGAGCCTTGGCTAAGGACTCAAGGAGCTCTGTGTCTGTGCAGCTCTCTCCATTCTCATCCCTTCCCTGAGAACGTTAGCCCTTTGACCTCCCTAGGTTCCCAGCTCTGCTGTCCTGGGTTCCTTCTCCCCCGACATAGCGGGAAATTCGCTCTAGACAGGAAGCTTGGGGCAGTCTTAGGGTTCGCAGTTGTTTCCTATCTCTCAGTGGTCACTGTCTTTCCTTGTCTCATGTCCAGTGTCTTCAAAAACCATTGCTTCATTATCTTTTTTTTTTTTTTAAGTTTTCTCCAGTGGGTCCCTGTTAACTTCACCTTGGTTCTCATCCTCATTTTTTTCTTTTTTTTTGTGGTACCTGGGCCTCTCACTGCTGTGGCCTCTCCCGTCGCGGAGCACAGGCTCCGGACGCGCAGGCTCAGCGGCCATGGCTCATGGGCCCAGCCGCTCCGCAGCATGTGGGATCTTCCCGGACCGGGGCACGAACCCGTGTCCCCTGCATCAGCAGGCGGACTCTCAACCCCTGCGCCACCAGGGAAGCCCTCTCATCCTCATTCTTGAGCTGTACTTTTGCTGGATACACAATTCTGGGCTGACTGTTCTTTTCTTCCTAAGCGCTTTCAAGGTGTTTTAACTCTCTTCAGTGGTCTTGCTGCTTGATCAGTCAGTTCTCAATTACCTTTTTTTCTTTCCTTCCTGATGATCTGTGTTTTTCTCTCTGATATTTTTAAGAACTACTTTCTGTCTCTGGCATTCTGTCATTTCACTATGATGTATGTAAGCGTGGGTTAATTTTTATTGTTCCTGCTTCCTAAAGGATCCATTGGAGTTCCTGAATCTTCAGACTGTGTTTCTCATCAGTTGTCAAAACTTTGCAGCTATTATATCTTCAGATAATATTTTATCATCTGATGATGCTCTTCATTCTGTCCCTTTGAAACTTTGTTGGCTACCAAGAAAAGCACCAACCATACAGGAAAAAAATATTATTGGGTTCATTCATTTGGACCCTTTTTTGATCAGAGAACACTAATGAGGAAGTGAGAGCTACCAAGTGGGAGAATGCGTTTGTGGCACCTGTAACCGACAAAGGCTTGGATCCAGCGTGTTATAAAGAACTCTTACAGGTCAAGAAGACAAAGACAGATGGAACAGAACAGTGTGCAAGGATCTTGAACAGGCATTTCACGAAAGAAGGTATCGTGATGAATAAAACCCTTGAAGACCGGTTGAAACTCCAAGCGAAAATGGGACATTAGGTGTGTCGGACACCACGGTTGGCAGCAAACAATTGACATTTACATGAAAGGAGTTAGAACAGCAGAAGCAGCAGCAGGAGGCTGAGAAACTGCACCGACAAGAGAGGAAGACCCTTCGCCGTTCAGCCGGCCACCTGAAGTCCAGGCCCTGGAGAGGACGGCCGTTCCACTGAGTCTGGAACCGATCCCACGCACGATTCAGAGGAGCTCACTTCCCCCACCTGATCATCGTAGAGTGTGTTATCCGCGCCGGGGACACGCGCTCCTGAAGTGCATGGAAACCCTCGCTGCGTCTGCAGAGGGCAGCATCTGGCAGCGGGTCCCAGGCCTCCGGTCAGACTGCGGGGCTGGGCCCACTGGCTGTGTGGGGCCCCAGGGCGCTTCTGTGCCTTGTCGCTCCCCAGGAACATTGTCCCTTTCCCCTGGTTTTAATCAAGTAGACAAGGTGGTGGTTTTGTAATATTGTGGAACGTGCACCGTGAAATGAGAGGTTCTCCTGTGCTGAAAACCAGGACTGACGGTTTTCCAGAAACATTCTTGCACTGCCTGCCACCATCCGTGAATCAGCCACCCCGAGATGCCATTCCTGTCTTCCCTGACTTGGGAGCGTCGGTCGTGTTTATGTTTATAAGGATATGCTGGTACCTGTGTTGCTTGTTTATGTGTTAGTTTGGGATTTTTTTAAAGCATATTTTTATACCAAGACAATATAAAGTAGTGGTAATAACAGTCTAAAACAGGAAGTGGAAGCTACTGGATATTCTTTTAACTTGGCACAAGATGAAATACAGACTTCTTCTTTTTTAATTCTGTTTCTTAAGTGCAATTAGAGATATACTGGCTGGAGAAAAATGTTTATAAAAAGAAATGCTTTCATTTGAACAGCAAAGAAAAAAGATATCATGAGTTATAAGAAAGATGAAATTTCAACCACGAGAAGATAACACTGTATACTCAGAATGGCCAAATTTAAACTACTGTGAATTGGTGGATCCCTTGATGCAGCTAGAACTCACATAAGCTGTTGGGGGGAGAGGAGCTGGAACGACCACTTGGTCTCATCTGCCTGTGTTGAATGACCTAGACTTCCACCCTTAAGTATACTTAACCCAGATTTGTGTGTGTATGCATCAGCTGATATGAAATATTTACCGCAGCACTGTTTATGATAGCCAAGAGCTGAAAACAGCCTAAGTGTCCCTCAGAGGCATAATGGGTGAAGACACTATGAAATACGTACATGTTGGAGTACTGTACAGCCATGAAAAAAGGAATGGCTACTAGTAACAGCATGGATGAACTTCACTAACTTAATGTCAGGGAAAAAAGGAAGATCCCATTTTGCGGTATTTAAATAGCGGCAAAACTACACCTTCAGCGGAATAGAGGCCACGGTGACTAGGAAGGAGCATGTTAGGGGCCCGTGGGGCTCAGTTAATGTTGTGTTTCTTGTTTGAGTGATATTTACAGGGACATATTCATTTTTGGAGATTCTTCGTGCCGTATGCTTATGAATTGTGAGCTTTTCCGTGTATATGTTACAGTCAGTAAGAAAGCTTAATTTAGGTACCGTTTCTTCGCCATCTTGGAGCTTCTGTTTCAGTAGATAGCGGATATTAAATATATGTACATAAAAATGGAAACGGTTAAAAATTATGAGCATGTATGAAGGCAAAGAAGATGGTGCTATGAGATCGCGTAACCCGGGGGTCTACATTTATATTGGATGTTTCGGCCACGCCTCTGTGAGAAAGAAGCCAGGTATTTAAACTCAGTGAGGAGGACAGTGGGTGTGAGACAGAGTTGGAGGGAAAATACAAGACTAGGACTTGCTTTTCATCCCAAACCAGTGCGTGGGTAGGAGAGTTCTTAGTAGACCACTTACGTGAGTTACTCTGAGTTTCAAAGTAATTACTCTGGGGGCTTCCCTGGTGGCGCAGTGGTTGAGAGTCCGCCTGCGATGCAGGGGACACGGGTTCGTGCCCCAGTCCGGGAGGATCCCACATACTGTGGAGCGGCTGGGCCCGTGAGCCCTGGCCGCTGAGCCTGCGCGTCCGCAGCCTGTGCTCCGCGACGGGAGGAAAAAAAAAAGTAATTACTCTGGACACACTGTGAATCAGGAATTTGAAAATGAGCCCAAGGTGAATGCAGGTGGACCATTGAAAGGCTGCAGGTAAAAATGCTCCAGGTGAAAGATGATGACCAATGATCTAGACCAAGGGTCTGCCAGCTTTTTTATGGAAAAATGTCTGGTGCTTGTACTCAGGTTCTCACTGTAGCATGGCAGGCGCCATGAGGCACACATCAGTGGACAGGCATGGCTGTGTTCCAGGAAAGCTTCACTTACGAAAACAGGTGGCACAGTTGGCCACCGTCTGCTCTGGACTGGAGAGAAGATAACATGTTAGCTTACACTGTGGAAGCAGATTTAACAGGATGGGGTGTAGGTAAGGGGGATTTCAAGGCTCTGGCTGGAGTAATCGGTGCATCCTGGTGCTGCCGATTAGGGAACAAATTAGTTAAAAGTCTAGACCCACCCACCCCCAATATAGTGACATGTCACGTTATTCTCATCTTTGGTCTCTAATGACAATATGACCGTCTTGTGGAGTTTCACCACCACAGCCGTCATGACTAGAAATACTTTTATTTTATTCTTTTATACACACAGTCGGCTATTACATCAAAAATTTAAAAGTGAGAAAAATCACAGAAGAATGAAAGCTAGTCAGCTGTACTGAGCAGTTCTTTCTGTGTTTTCTGCTAACAGAAGGAAAGAAAAAAAAGACATGCGTCGTTGCCTGACACCTGCCAGCCCGTTGGCAGTCTATCTGTAGCCTCCTTTTTCTCCCTCCTTTCAGAAGTAACAGTCCCTCGGCAACCCCCCAGCTGCCACTTCTGTTCGGATGAACCGGAGGACGCTCACGCTGGCAGACGCTTTACGCTGACGCCTGCCGCACCCTGTGGCCGAGTAGGGTTGCCTCTGTTGCTCTGCAGCTTCCCCTCGCCCCGTCTGCAGAGGCTCCTTCCCAAGTAGTTGCCTTCTTACGGTTGCTGTGGCAGAACTGGAGCATCAGTTTGATTTTCCTTATACTGTGGTCAAGTGTAAAACGCCAAACACGTGCAACTACTGTAACACTTCTTCCCTTGGACTTTGTAGGCTTTGCTCTCTGTGCACGATACTGTGGCTCTGAAGAACTATGATCCCGTGTTGCCTCCTATGCCTGATGATATTGATGATGAGGAAGACTCGGTGAAAATCATCCGTCTGGTCAAGAACCGAGAACCGCTGGTGAGTTCTGGGCTACATTTTATGCTCAGCTACGAGTAGATGCCATGATGAAGCCACGTCTGATGGGCACATACCACCGATTCCTCTCTTTAAAATGTACTTCCTCTGCGTCCCGAACTTTGAAATAAATGGAGCATTCACACCTAAAGCATAGGATTTAGAAAAATTAAAATGGAGCCAGATAAAATGGCAGGCATTCTTTTGGTTATAAATAGCAATAGTTTTGAAAATGTGACTTGTTGACATTTATAAAAGACAGCATAACGTGCACCAGTTACAGTTGATGTGAGATTTAGAAGTGCAACTAAAAATAATGGCTTATGGCTTTTCTAGAAAGCTGATGGATTTTAAAGTGACGAGGATAAATTAATCGGGTATCCGATATTTCAAAATGTAGATGTAACCATTTGTTTTAGTCCCAGAATTTATACAGTGCTGAACCACGTCAAGGTCTGGGGTAGGCCGACTAATGCCTCGCACCAGCCCGCAGTGATGTCGTGTCCTCATCTTCAGAACCCGTGGATATGTTACCTTAAAAGACACAGGGAGCTTTTCATGATTAGTTAAGGATCTGGAGACGGCGAGAGTCTCTTGGGTCATCAGGCGGCACCAGGGGAGTCACGAGGTTCTCATTAATGGGAAAGAGGGAAGCGGGGGGGTCAGAGGTACAGAAAGATGTGATGGTGAAGGCAAGGGTGGGAGTGATGTGGCCGAGGGCCAAGGGAAGCCAGAAGTGTCTAGAAACCGGGACAGGCAAGGACCGGATTCTTCCCTAGATCCTCCAGGACGAATGCCGCCCTGCTGGCACCTTGATTTGGGCCTGTAATACCCATTTTTGCCTTCCTGTTGATACCTCCAGACCTGTAAGATAATGAATTTGTGTTCTAGGAAGCCACTAAATTTGTGGACATTTGTTCACAGCAGCAATAGGAAATGAGTACAGAGTGTATCCATATGAAACTATATTCAAAAGGAAAATAGATGTCACAGCCTAGCAGTTGGCTTTAAATGTGTTGTGGCCCATTTATTCCAGTTAAAACATTTTTGTGTTTTTAAGGCAAATGGCGGTTGGTCATAAGTGTAAGTGGCCCATGTACCTCAAAAAAAAAAAAAGAATGTAGGGATCAAAAAGAAGATTGAGTCAAGTGCTGGTATCCTGTAGAAAGTGAGAGACCGTTTCTCAGGTCCGTAGTTTACCCTGCACGGGGAGGTAGAATCGGCAGAGAGCAAGCATGTCTATTTCAAGGTCCTATCTGTAGCCATAGGTAAGTATATTTCAGGGCCTATAACAAGTCCTGTAAGTGTTGGAGTGCTTTTCTCCCTCCGCACACCCTGGAAGTGATTTCTTTCAGCCCCTGGCTTTAAAAACCATTTATGTGCCAGGGACCCCCAGGCCCCTTTTCCTTCCGGACCTTTCGTCTGATCTTTAAATTTGCATGTCCAGCCGTCTGCCCAGTGTCTCCATTTGGACGTAGCAGGCATCTCAGTCTTCACGTGTCTGCAAGTAGACTGTCTGCAGTCTGGTCCAGCCCTGTGGTTCCCCCTCTCAATGATGGACAATCCCATCTCTGCAGTTATGCAGCCAGGAGCCATAGAGTCTACCTGTGATACCTCTCTTTCTTTCACATCCCATTTCCGATCCACTGGGAAATCCTTTCAGCCCTACCAATATATTCCAACACACCTGGCCCACTTTTCATCACGGCTCGTCCTGACCGTCAGATCCAGGCCTCCAGCATCTTTGCCCTCGCTTGTTGTGACAGCCGCCTCCTTGTTTGCCTTTTTTTTTTTTTTTTTTGCGGTACGCGGACCTCTCACTGTTGCGGCCTCTCCCGTTGCGGAGCACAGGCTCCAGACGCGCAGGCTCAGTGGCCATGGCTCACGGGCCCAGCCGCTCCGCGGCACGTGGGATCCTCCCGGACCGGGGCACGAACCCGCGTCCCCTGCATCGGCAGGCGGACTCTCAACCACTGCGCCACCAGGGAAGCCCTCCTTCAGTCTCTTCTTGCGGCAGGTGGAGGGGTCCTTCCGGATCATGTCACTGCCGCTGTGCAGGTTCTCCCTGTTTGTTTCGCAGCTCAGTCCAGAATCCTCCCGGGGACCTACAGAGCACTGTGCGCTCCGACTCCCTGACCCACCTGCTGCTGCTTCTCCCCTTTTACGTTGCCCCAGACACAGTGGCTTCTTTGTGCTTCTCTGATCGTCCATTTTGCCCTGTTCTTTCGCTTTGGGTAACTCCTTCATCTCCTTCCAGCCTTTTCGTTGAGAGCGGCGTCTTTATGTGCTGTCTTCCCTCTCCCTGCCCTACCCCCTCCGTAGTTTTTACCACCTTCTAACGTGCTGTAGGACAGATCTAATTGTTTCATCTTCTGTTTGTTGTCTGTCTCCCCTGTGAGAATGTAAGCTCCATGAGGGGGAAGAAGCGCCTGGGTTTCTTTTTTTTTTTTTTTAGCAATGTGTCAGAAACCCTTAGACCAGAAGCTGGCACATAGTAGGTTCTCAGTAAACATTTATCAACTTCACTGAGCACAGCAGACTGGATGGTTCCATACTGAAAAACTGTCATCCATGGTGGAGCAGGACATTCGTTGCAGTTACCTAATTTCGTGTTACAAACCACCACCCAAAGTTTGTAGCTAAAACAATAATATTGTCTCTCACAGTTTTGGAGGTTGACAGGCTCAGGTGGGCAGTTTTTCCTTAGAGTCCCTCCTGTGCAGTTAGACAGGGGCTGAGACTGGAGGCACCTGAGGGTTACTTCATCCCCAGGACTGGTGTCTGGGCTGGGTGGCTGGAAAGCTGGGGTCTGGTCAGGCATCTCTTTTAACAAGTGGCATCTCCACCTGGCTGGCTTGGACCTCCTCACAGCATGGCTGTACACGTGATCTCTTCCATGGTGGCTGACTTCCCACAGAGCCAGCATTTCAAGAGTTCCAGAAAGTTGGCTGCAAGTCTCCTCACAGCCTTAGGTACCCCAGAACCCTTTCACCACTTGACGTGGGGGTACAGCAGGCGCACACCAAGAGGGGAGAATTGATGCTCTGCACCTGCAAAAGCAGCGGTTGCGAAAGCAATTCTCATCAGTGTGCCTTAGACAGGTTCTGACGTTACTGCATACTAGTTGTCTGATCTCAGGCAAATGATAACCATTTGGCATTCAATTTCTCATCTATAAAATACAGATAAGTAATCTTAAATTAGATAACTAGACCCTTATGACATTAGGCGTACTTCGGTGGGAGAGTTTGAGACACATTGTTAAAGAAAGTGAAAGTTGATCTAATTACACTAATTAGTTATATTAAGGATATTACATTTCCAGTCATCTTGGCTCCAAGTTATCTGTTTAAAAGCAGAAAATACCAGTAATTGAAGAGTCTAAGGTTTATGACCATGGAGAGATACCCATTCAAGTCTTCGGCCTTGAATGCATGCGTAGGTGAGGAAAAATGCCACAAAATTATCCTAACACTTAATTATTTAATTTTTTTGCTATTATTAGATACGTATTTGATAGCTGTCATATACAAAATAAAACGTCATATAGAAAGCACTTACTACAAATGGATTCCTAATTTTGTTTCCATATCTATTTGGTAATGCTGTACATGTGTTTATTGGCGAACGCGAGAAGAATTCCACCTTCTTGGGGGTGCGCCCTGCCTCCACCTAACGTGCACCTCTTCAGCGCGTGGTGTGATGTTGGTGGCCTGTCTAAACCACTGCCAGTTTCTTGGAAGCAAAGTCATGAAAAGGCGTTCAGAGTAACTGTGTGTACCTGATGTTCTGACGAACAGCATGCAGTTAATTTGCTTCTGAACATGCATAAGTGAAGACTTTCTGGGTTCTTTTTGAAACTGTTTCCTAATCTCACGCCAAAATGTTAGTTCCATTTGTACCTAGGTGCAGTCCTAGTACCTAAAAACCTCGGAGTAACAGATCTTTTTTTTTTTTTCCCCCCCACTTTCTTTATTATCATTGCTGAGTTCCTTTACTGTAATGTAATAGTGTAACAGAAGGATCACTGAACTAAAGGTCAGGTGATCTGGGTTTTAGTTTTCTAGTTTATATAATCTTTTTTCTGTTCACTTCACCTTCTCTGTTTAGTCTACCTTCTCACAGGGTATTGTAAAGGTAAACTGAAATGAGGAAGTGCTCTGAAAGGGTAAAAGCAAATAGGATTCAAATACAAGGTATTATAATGGAAAGAAGATATTTGTACACTTTGCATAGTACTGAAGAGATTAAAGGTTTCAAAAGTCTTTGTGCTGAAAACCTTAGACGATCTGTGTGGTAGAAAGTTGTGTGTCTAGTGATAAGTATTTGTGAGCAAATGGCGTGACTTCTGTTCCCCCTTCCTTTACTTTTTGTAGCGTTTTTACTTTTTCCAGATGAATGTCCTTATTTCTGTCCTTATTTCTTTCCTACCACCCAGTACACACATTTACCCACAAATACTATTTTTTTCCTTAAAAGGGAGCTACCATTAAGAAAGATGAGCCCACCGGGGCCGTGGTTGTGGCCAGAATCATGAGAGGAGGAGCTGCAGACAGAAGTGGTGAGAGTTTGAACGTTAGGCGGGCATGGACGGGGCGCGTGGATTTTATGTGACACATTTCCGGGATGTAGCTAAGAGGATAACAGTCTTTTGATACAATACAGCAAAACAGTAATAAGATATCGTACTCTGTGTTAAAATGTGGGAACCTATTTAAATGGTAAATTTCATTCTAGAATACTTTACGGTCTTAGCTTATATAGGCTTCCAAGGTTATATTAAGACTTAGTTCAGTGTTTCTGATTTGAAAAGTACTACTGAAAGCACACAGCCTTTTAAAAATTTATCTTAAAATGAAAGTAATGTGCATCTCTAGAAAAAGACTGAGATGCCTCTGCTGTTGCTTTGGCAGCGTTGTGATGTTACGGCCTCGGCGAGGCTGGAGCCGCAGCCTTTGAAACCTCAGAGGCCTGGGATGTGCACTGAGGGTACCACACGGTGCTTTCAGGGTGGGCACACTGCAAACCACCGTACGTAACACTGCTTACTTTCTGAATTTGCGATTTCTCAGGTCTTATTCACGTTGGCGATGAACTGAGGGAAGTGAATGGGATACCTGTCGAGGATAAAAGCCCTGAGGAAATCATTCAGATCTTGGTAAGCTGAAAATTTACTTGAAAACTGCAGTGAAAATGAGGTTGGATCACTGTATTTCAGACCTGGTTGTGAACACAGGATTTGGATTTAATAGTCCAGGGTTTGGATCCCAGCGCTGTCACTTAATCCCCCTTATGTCCTTGGAAAATACCTTAATCTTTTTATTTCCTCCCTGTTTTCATCTACAGAATGAGAATAAGAAGTGGTAACTCTCTCACTGGAGTATCTGGAGCGTTAAATGAGCCAATGTAGATCAAGAGTTTGACAGGGCCCATCTCAGATTAGGTCCTTAATACATGGCACGTACTCTGTTGTTGAGGATGCTTTTATCTCTGTCTCTAGGGGCTATGCTTTCCGGGTATATAAAAAAGTGAAACTAACTTAGATGTCTTATGAAATCTAAAACGAAATGAAATTATTATAAGCCTTGGCAATATAAATTCTCAAGTTCATTTGTAAGGATAGAATAAAGGGAGACTGTCCCTGTTACATATGAAAACATGTTATTAACCTATAGAGAGTTTAGTATCTCAAAATAGACCTCAGTATATATGAAAATGTAGTGTATGATTAAGATGGCATTTTAAATCAGTGTGAAAGCAGTGAGATCATTTCATAAATGGTATTGGATTAATTGATTATTCAGTTAGAAAAAATAGTCCTTATTTTACAACTCACACAAAAATAAATCCCCTCAAATCAAGTAAGTTTTTTAAAAAGTCCTAAAAAGTAGAGAAAGGTTTTTTTAACCTTGATGTGAAATTCAAATAGAAAAATAACTGACGTGATGACTAGAATTGAAAACTTTTTCTACAGTAAAAGATGCTATACATAAAATTTAAAAGACAAATGAGATCGTAGGCGAAATATTTTCAATTTATATGATAGAAGGCTCATATTTTAATGGATATAGAGAGTTCTTAAAAATCATTAAGAAAGAAACGGTTACAGAAAAATCAGCAAAGTGTATGTACAGAGAATTACAAAGGGAGACACGATGTCTGAAACATATTGGATTGGTGGTTATTTAAAAGCTCGGTAATGCCCAGAGTTAGCCAGATTATAAGGGAATAGATATGTTTATATGCTTTTTTTGGTACAGGGTAAACTAATAGAGCCTTTTGAGACGGCTCTCTGAAGCTGTGCATTTTAAATGTGCTTTACTCCTCAGTCAAGAAATTCAGCTGCTGCAAATTAACCCGAAGGAAATAATTTCCAATGTGTATAAACGAGATATTTTAAAAATATTTAGAAACTATCAGGAAGGTTGAATTGATTATTCATTCACGTGGTGGATTACTGTGAAGCGTTCACAATGGCTGATAGACCCATATGACTTAGTAATAACAGTAATACTGGTAATTGCTTACATTGATTGAGCCCTTAAGGATACTGTTCTAAGGGCTTTACATACGTTAAAACAGCGGGCCCCAGCCTTTTCGGCACCAGGGACTGGTTTCGTGGAAGACAGTTTTTCCATGGACCGCAGGGGGGTGGGGGAAGGTTTCGGGATGATTCGAGCGCATTACATTTATTGTGCACTTTATTTCTGTTATTATTACATTGTGATATATAATGAAATAATGATACAAGTCTCCATAATGCAGAATCAGCGGGAGCTTCTTTTCACTTGCCGCTCACCGATAGGGTTTTGTTATGAGTCTGCAAGCAATTGATTTATGATGGTCTCTGTGCAGTCAAACCTCTCTGCTAATGATGACCTGTATCTGCAGCCGCTCCCCAGCGCTAGCATCACCGCCTCAGCTCCACCTCAGGTCATCAGGCATTAGATTCTCATAAGGAGCACGCAGCCTGGATCCCTCACGTGTGCGGTTCACGGTAGGGTTCGCGCTCCTGCGAGCATCTAATGCCGCCGCTGATCTGACAGGAGGCGGAGCTCAGGTGGTAACGAAAGCGCTGGGGAGCGGCTGTAAATACAGATGCAGCTTCGCTCGCCCGCCCGCCCCTCGCCTCCTGCTGTGCGGCCCGGTTCCTAACAGGCCACGGACTGTTACGGTCCATGGCCCGGGGGGTCGGGGACACCTGCATTAAAACACACACACACACAAACTAGAAGAAGGGGAAGGGATTATAGGGAAGACTTTCTTTCTTTCTACTTATGCAATTTAGTATTATATAAATTCTTAATAAGGTTAGTGAGTTCCTTCTATGATAAGCAATAACAGTGATATTACCATTTTGAAATCACTCCTTTATAAAATTCTGATATTTCTACTATTAAACCCCCATTTTATGTGAGTCTCTGCTGCACTGGAGCTGCTTCCATATGCTGACAAAAGCTGGTTCAGTGCAGCTTTTCCCATCCTGGCTTTCAGTGACTTCATGCTGATACATTGAAACTGGCTGTGATGGAAGTATTCACACCATGGAAACCGGCAGACGGTATCAGTCAGGGCCTTCTTAACAAAATGGAGTCCCGGCCACCAGCACACACTGATAGCGAGAGCCTCAGGGAGGTCCACCGCCCCTCCCCCTCTCGCCTTTCCTCCCTGTCCGCCTGTCCTCCTAAATACGTACTTAGTGCTTTCACAGAGCTTACCATTTAGTGAGGGTAACAGACATTAAGAAATAATTGTGTAAGTAATTACATAGATATGGTTATGACAAATGCTAAAAAGAGAGAAAGAATGACGTAAGGGTGTGTTAAAGGCAGACCTACTATTTAAAAACAATTTTTTTGAAGTATAGTTACTTTGCAATGTCGTGTTAGTTTCAGGTGTACAGCAAAGTGACTCAGTTACACACACACACACACACACACACACACACACACACACACACACACGTATATACATATATATATTCTTTTTCAGCTTCTTTTCCATTGTAGGTTATTACAAAATATTGAGTGGAGTTCCCTGTGCTACACAGCAGGTCCCTGATAGGAAGACCTACCCTTGTCTGAGGTAGTCAGCAAAGAATTTGGGGGTATTGTTGCTTGCTTTAATTAAATTAGAATAGACAATCTTTTCATCTTTTAATTAATCTGCTACATTTGGTACTTCTCTTACTAACCAGAATATAATAGAGATGAGTGTTTTTCATTATTTTTCTGATGAGCATCGCAACTAATTGAATCATGTATTTATAGCCACATTACTGGTAGTTGTAGGAATTTTGTCCCTGAAACCTGGCTGCTGAGCCTTAGATGCAGTGGTCTGAACTTTGCACACGGTCTGTTCTTGCCATTTAATCCTGTTTAAGGCACTGCATATTCTTTCTATTTTGAAGTAACTCAACATGGATGGTAACACATTCATCGGCATTTTAAAAGTGCACAAGAGGTAAAAGTGGTTTAGTGGTTAATGTTTTTTAACTTATTTGACAAACTTTAGTGCCTTCTCACGTTACAGGAGTTTCTACAAAAATAGTTTCCTCGGTTTGTTCTGTCTAAGAGTAGAAACCCCAAGCTTGTAAATTTTTAGAATCGTTTCATTTTCTACCTATTTGACTTTCTTCCTCCTTGGCTCCAGCGGTTTTCTTATAACTCTTTCTTTCCTCTGACGTCAGGCTCAGTCTCAGGGCGCAATCACATTCAAGATTATACCCAGCCTCAAGGAGGACACACCATCAAAGGAGGGCAAGGTAACCATTCCTCAGAAACCTTTTTTTTTTGTGGGAACCAATGTTTTTCCATTTACTAAATGGAACACAACAAGTTTATCTTAATATTCTATTTCTTAAATCAATCAGAGTTAGAAGAATGTTGGCCACTTCACATTTATTTTTTTATATTTATGCATCTGAAACGGAACTTTCTTCCAGATGTTTATCAAAGCCCTCTTTGACTATGACCCTAATGAGGATAAAGCAATTCCATGTAAGGAAGCTGGGCTTTCTTTCAAAAAGGGAGATATTCTTCAGATTATGAGCCAGGATGATGCAACATGGTGGCAGGCGAAGCACGAAGGAGATGCCAATCCCAGAGCAGGCTTGATTCCCTCAAAGCATTTCCAGGAAAGGTGAGTTCCTGGCACAGAATCATGGCCTGTCTTCAGCTGACCTTTTGTTCTCTGCAAAGTACCATTCCAGCATACTTGTGATAGAAGAAGCACTAAAACCTTGCCTTAGAATTCCTTATCCCTCAGGTTTGGGTTTCTGTTTTGTCTAACGAAGCATGAATAATGACCAAAAATAATATGACACTCTCAGGTCATATTCAGTTTTTGTTACGAAACAAATGGAAAATAGCACATTAATATCTGAAACTGTATTGATGTGAAAGATGGAAAAATAAAGAAGAGTGATTTCAGAGTGGGGAGAATTTATGAAAATTTGAAAGTAGAGGATTTATTTCTTAATTTGAGTAGATTGCATTGTGTTCATTTTTTCCTCCAACGTTCCATTTTTTTCTTAAGGCTTTTAATATTTTGGTGTTATGTTAATCTTGGATCTGTACTGAAAATTGATAGGCATATTGACCTTCTTTTCCCCCAGGAGATTGACTCTGAGACGACCAGAAATATTAGTCCAGCCCCTGCAAGTTTCCAACAGGAAATCATGTAAGTTTGTTAATCAGAATGCAGAGTAACTAAGTCTTGCTGTTTACTTTTGACTGTTACAGCAGGTGTTTGTGGTAGAATAAGAGGTCCTATTACCTGTGATAGCATTTGGATCATCATTTCACAAGAACCAACAAGGAACAAATTCATAGTGGGAATAGTAAAGTGAATCTTTTGAAGAAAGGGGTGTTTGGGGTTGTTTACAATAAACCCATGGCTCTGTAAGAAAAAAGCTAATAACCACAACTCTCTTTGATTCTGAATTTAGGTATTTTATAGTGTAACCTAAAATGCACCCTGATTTCTCTGAAGCTAGGAGGTTTGGATAAGATATTTCTTGGTAAAGATTGGAGGAAAAAAATCCATCACTTTCTAGGGCACAAAAGCAATTGTGCCTAAAACAGTCCTTCTTGTTGTACTTTCTTCCTTGCTTATTTTGACCTTCACCCGGTCTGTTCAGAGTTATTACCAAACTAGATTAAAAGAAAACAGGAATAAGAAAAACGATGATGTAGGATTACTGGAAAAGAAGGGTTTTTCTTTTAACCCAGCCTTCTCTCAGATTCTCCTTACTTCTCGCCTCCCACCTCTTGTAAGTCCCCATCCTACTTTATCTTCTCTGCTTCATGGTTCTAGGTAGTTTAAGAGTTAAAAGAAAAAAAAAGCCCTTTTGTTTTCAGCATAGAAATTGTACGTTAAAAGGTGAAATAAGCAAATAAATGGTCCTGGAATTTCACACCAACATCTGTTTTTAGTATCGTTGCATTTTTTCCCATCTCCTGTTATTTCTGTCAGTTCGTAGAAGCCTAGAGCCCAGGAATCACGTTATAAGGGAGCCAAACTGCAGTCCGGTATAAATCTCGCAAGCAAGCTTCAAGCAGAGCACTGACTCAAAAGCCTGCTTGTTCTTGCTCTGTGAAGTCTGGGCAGAAGGAAAAAACACTTGTCGTAGAATGCCACGTGTCCCGTGACATCGAAAGCTCCAAGTTTAACCAGAATGTTGCATTGTTCTTAAGTGTGAAGCATTTTCACTGCAGCTCATCCAGTGGAAGGGAGCTCTGGGGCCTCTACCTGACCTGCTCTTTGAGGGTTTTATACATTTGGGGGCCTGCACGTTGCTTATACATTTGGTGCCTGGGGGATGAAATGTGTCTAACTTGAACATGAAATAAATGGGATTCTGCTCGAATCTGAATCCATACTCTAATTTGCTTGAGTTTTAGGTAACTTAGAAATGTGTAATTGGTTATAATTAACGAATTTTCACTTACTTAAAATTTTTGATGTATTTTTTTTGTTTTAAAGAACTGTGCAAAGTAGAGAGATTGTCTTCTTAATAGCTCTCCCCAAACTGGTTTCAGGATAAATGTGTGTGAGTGTGTGTGTGTGTGTGTGTGTGTGTGTGTGTGTGTGCGCGCGCGTAGAGCTCTAATTGTAATGGAGGCTATTTTGTCTTTGAATTTACATAATTTCTTTTTTTTAATTTAATTTTATTTTTTTATATAGCAGGTTCTTACTAGTGATCTATTTTATACACATCAGTGTCTACACGTCGATCCCAATCTCCCAGTTCATCCCACCGCCCCACCACCCAACCCCTCTTCCCCCCCACCGGTGTCCATATTGTTTGTTCTCTACGTCTGTGTCTCTAATTCTGCCTTGCAAACCGGTTCATCTGTACCATTTTCCTAGATTCCACATATATGCATTAATATACGATATTTGTTTTTCTCTTTCTGACTTACTTCACTCTGTATGACAGTCTCTAGGTCCATCCACGTCTCTACAAATGACCCAGTTTTGTTCCTTTTCATAGCCGAGTAATATTCCATTGTATATATGTGCTGCGTCTTCTTTATCCGTTTGTCTGTTGATGGGCACGTAGGTTGCTTCCAGACCTGGCTATTGTAAATAGTGCTGCAGTGAACGTTGGCGTGCATATGTCTTTCTGAATTATGGTTTTCTCAGGGTATATGCCCAGGAGTGGGATTGCTGGGTCGTAGGGTAGTTCTATCTTTAGTTTTTTAAGGAACCTCCATACTGTTCTCCATAGTGGCTGTATCAATTTACATTCCCACCAACAGTGCAAGAGGGTTCCCTTATCTCCACACCCTCTCCAGCATTTGTTGTTTGTAGATTTTCTGATGATGTCCGTTCTAACCAGTGTGAAGTGACACCTCATTGTAGTTTTGGTTTGCATTTCCCTAATATGAATTTACATAATTTCTTTTATATGTTAATACTCTAGTGTTTGAGTTTCAGGACTTGTCTTTATGGAACGTGGTCGTCCTTTCACCCTTTCTTCCTTTTCTTCTCTCTAGTTTTAACCTAGATTTTGATTCACTGAGAGATGCATTGTTTGTTCTCAGAGGTAGATGTTCTTTACTTTTAAATAAAAAAATAAATCTGATCGATATTATCCAAAGTAAATACAGCGTGTAGTAAATACAGCCTCATTCAGAGAGACCGTATACTTCCGTGAAAATTAAATAAAAGGCCATTGTCTTTCTTCTCAAAAAATTGAAATTTCATTTGAAATTCTTTGAATGTTGTCTCATAAACCCCTGAACTCAGAAGTTATACAAAAATCATTGCACTGGATCTGAACATTTATTTATTTATTTTTTAAATTTATTCATTTGGCCTCACTGCATGGCACGTGGGGGGATCTTAGTTCCCTGACCAGGGATCAAACCCGTGCCCGTTGCATTGGAAGCACGGAGTCTTAATGACCGGACTGCCAAGGAAGTCTCTGGCTCTGAACATTTTTATAAGTATTTAAAAGCACTTTGTTTTGTAACCTGTGTATCTGAAAGTGATTTTTTTTTTTAATGTAACTAAATCTTATAAAGACCATCTGACTCAACACTTCCTGGACTTCAACCTTTGGTACTTAGGTTTTTGGAATAGGACATATGTTATCATGCCCTTTGCTAACTTACAGAATAATACTATGAAGAAAAGCAGAAAGTTGATATAAAATCCTTTATTTTTATATTTTATTTTATTGAAAAAAATCTGTATATATTTTATCATCCATCTATTTAATTACATTGAATAGTCATGGAATAGGTTTTAAGAAAATTTCTGATTTAATATAAAATTTCTAAAAGAAGAATAATTCTCTCATGTTGGTGTTTATAAATTTATGAAAAATACTCATGTTGATAAAAGTTTTCTGCACTAAATTTCACAAGTGCTCTTAAAACCTAGGAAGATATTGGTTAAGCAATGAGTTTAGAATAATGACTTAAAGGTCATTAGCCAGTTAACTTTTTTGACAAATTGATTGCTTTTGTATTAGTAGGATTTTACTCTTTATTTGATTCACAGTGTATCATCATAACTGAAGTCTTCATGGAGGAAAAGTTCCTGGAAGATGGCTCTGGTGCTGTAGGGCTTCAGCTAGTGTGCACACAGAGGTCAGAAAGGACTGGAGCACCCCAGTACTGTTATCTCTGCCTTTATATTTGTGCTAGAACTCTGGGTCCGGGCTCCATGGTTAAAAAGTCAGAAGCCGTGGTAGTACCGACCTCCTCCGGCTTTTCAACTGGCACCCTTATGCAGAACTCTGAGTGTGGGTGGTGTTCATCCTTGATGCTTGGTTATTTCCTCTCCTTAGGAATCTTGGCGTATCTAATGCACATACAGAAAACAGGCTCTTCAAACGAGGTGTTCCTCGCTGTGACCAACGTTTAGGTTGTTCTCAGCAGGACACGGGGTGCGTGTTTGGGGCCCAAGTAAGTGCCTAGCTCATGTCTCAAGTAGCACGTAGGGGCAGTTCTCCTGACAGACACTTAGTAGCTTGCAGTTCTTGTGTCGATAGAATTTACCCTGCGACTTTCCTGCCAAAGCTTATTTTTACAGTTCAGTTGCATATATAAAGCCATATGTTAGCACCTAACCTTTGAAAAGAAATATGAATTTCTTTGATTACTTGAAATATTGTTTGTTCCCTTTCTATTGAAACATAAGTATGTAAGTTAGGAATTAGCTTCTTAGTAGCATAAACATTAACTTTAACTTCAATCCGATGTAACTTATATTTAAATCGAGTTCTTATTCATGTACTATATTTTACTGCAGAATGTTCAAGTATGATACTTCCTTACAGTGCTTGGTTTCCTTTTTTTAGTTATCAAAGTATAAATAGCTGAACATTTCTAATAGTGCTGATTGAATAATATTAATGAAGACATTTTCTTTTACAAAATAGCTCTAATAGAATTCTAGTAATAAATAAATGAGAAATCAAAAATGTACAATTTATTGGCTTTTTAAAAATTAGAAGGTAAAGACACAATAATTTAGAATTTGTTTTAACCGATTTTGATGGTTATCATGTGGGTAAAAAAGAAAATATGTGACTGCAGGCAAGAGGTGTCCATTCAAACAGGCTGTCACCAAATTCACTCAAAGACAAGTATTTTGTGGATTGAAGATCTCAAGCTACCAACAACAGAATTTAAACGTTGAGGAAAAGAGTGAATTCATTCTTCATGGCACCAGTGTTGTGGAAGACCAACCAGACTTTTGAGCATACGATATATATCATTGCTCTACAGGTTGTTGTAATACTGCTTTCCAAGTTGAATAAGCACCTTCTTCCTGGCATCTTAGATAATGTTTATTTACTGTGTTCACACATAAATTTAATTCAGAAATGAACAAATAGATTGCTTATGTTCTTAAATTTCTGTATCTAAAACTGTGTCAAACATTTTTTTAATATTGGTGGGATCATGTGTAACAGAAACATACGGGGTTTTAAAAATACTGGAAATACTTCTTTCCCCTGACGCTCTTTGGGAGGTGCCGAAGATCGCAGCTCCTGTAGAAAGAGGTGGAGGTGGATTAACTTGTAAACTGCACCTCTGACTGTTCACACCATGAGACGGTTGAGGTCAAGGCGTTTCTTGCTGCTTACGTTCCGTCTGTGATATCCTTACCTATATAAAGATAACACTGTCAGGGTGTGTGTTTAGCTTTTCCATCTGAGA